TATATAGTGTATATATAGTATATATATGTGTATATATATTGTATATATAGTATATATAGTATATATATGTATATATGTATACGTATATATAGTATGTATAGTATGTATAGTGTGTTTCATGAAAAAGTTTCATGAATTATTAACTATTTAATTTGCACGTGTCACATGGAGTATTTAGGTGTCTGATGATGTTTAGTGTAAAAAAACAAAACCAATTCCACCCTTGCCACCCCGCCCCCAACCCAGCAGAACACAACACTTGAGGCCCACATGAAAGCCAACGGTCCACTTACTTTGAGCGTCGGCGAGGTGGAGGAACAGACCCAGGACAAGCAGCAGCGGCAGCAGCAGCGTGGGTCTGGCTCTGTGCATGGTGGGACAGCTTGGCACCAGCATGCTTTGGCAGCCTCGGTGGCGCTGGCTCACAGAGCCCTGTGAGTCAGTCTGGTCTGATTTCTCAGATGCAGGGTATTCACAGCCTATGCAAGGCAAGGAGGGATAGGGAGAGGGAGAGAGGGAATAAGGAGGGAGGAAAAAGAGAGAGAGGAACTGAATGAAACAAAGCTGTTTGGCTCCACGGGTTTTATCTATCCCTGCACATTTCTGACATACCCCCACACAGCCTCGGCTGGAGCTGACAGAGGATAGGAAGAGGCTGATGTGCTCACAGGGTATGTTCTGACAGTTCTCTAAATGGAATAGTCACTTCACACAATGCGTGTGCACGTGTGCATGAGAGGAAGAGCGATAGAGAGTGCAAGAGAAAAAGGAGAAACCACACAGATGAAAGGGTGGACTAATAAGATTTTGTCTTCACAGCTTTGGTGGCGAGCACCAATTAAATACGCTGCATAATAAGAGTACATTTTAAGTCCTCCTAAGATCGGTGTTGATATCTGTTTCATAAAGAGCGCCTCTGTTGCCTGTAAGAATAGCAGAAAATATTCATAAATGCTGGACGCTATTTCATAGCACTTCAATTAGGAGTTTAAGTAAATTTGACCCTTAACAAACTGCTGACTTTTCTTTAAAGTACAATACAAGATATAAACGCTGTCTTTTAGTTGCATTACGATATACACATCCAGTAAACCAATTCATCTGAAGCACATATTTAGACTTCTTACACCACATTTAATCCATAGTTGATGCTTTAATAGCTCTAAGTGCCTATACAAAGTGATGAAGTAGCTTAGCTTTAGCACACACACACAATCCAATCCAGCGCTGCTCAAACAACAAATAAAATCCATAAGACACAGTGGCCGAGTGTTGCCATTCATGTTTGAACCTTTTATTGAGGGCCACTACATGGCTGTGAAAATCAATGTGATACAGTGAGCTAGTATTAGCTGCAGAACGGCTCTATCCCTTGTCATCCATTTGCTTAAGCCAGAGCTTGATCCTCAGTGATGGATGCTCTGCGGTAGTCTTCGGCTCGTAACACGGCTCCCGGCTAATCCAAGTGTGTGTGAGCTTTGAAGACACACTGTACTGCCTGGCTAGCATGCTAGCTCGTCTGCCTGCATTGTTCTGCAGGATGCTGTTGTTTCAGCTGCGGTGACCGGTGGAGGCGGACCTGTGTATGGTCTGTGTACCATGACATGTCAGACTCTTTATGTAGCGTGAGATCAAACATGTCAAACATGTCAGATCTCCTGAAGTTTTAGGATTCGGCATTTTTAGTAATGGTCTGTGCAGGAGGCAGCAACTCTGCACATAAATGCTTTTGGTAGAAATAATATTGTATTTGAATGTTTATCTCCAGATTTGACCGCCACCCCCAAATGAAAAAAGAAAAAAAAAAAGGAAAAACAAGCCCCCCTAAGCCCAATCAGTAGGCCCGATGATGACAAAGTACCTCATTTCCCTGTTACCAATCATCCTCTTTCTCGCTCCTAGCTCTCCCTCTTTCATTTCTGTGGGCTGTAAATGGCAGAAAAGACGGGAAGATAGCGCACCTGTCACACTCGATTTGTGTTGGGGGGGAGATAGACACGACTACCTGTCTCCAAGCGCCGCAGGGCTAGCAGCAAGCGCAAGAGCGGGGGACGTGTGGCGAAGGGAATCAATTTGAGGCAATCTCATCCCCCGCTCACACCGCCACCAACACACACACACACACTAGCAAACACAAATGCATATACATATACATACATTTGAGCACACTAGACAGAATTTTCACATGAGCAGTGTTTGTAGCGACTTTGAATTTGATTAGAATCAACTGCACTGAAAAACCTGAGCTGTGTGAGCTGCACTGTTATGCATACGTAGTGCAGGTACAGCTGTCTGTCTCCTTCGGTTATTGTTTTTACGCATCCGCCCCCCATCAAATCTAAGTGATAGCCTTTGAGTTAATTAATGTGTGAATTTCCATAATGACATGACATTAGGAAGCACACAAGAAACAGTACTCAGCAGCCCTCCCCTTCTGTATTCACGCCCGGCATGTACACACACCCATTTACACACACACACACGCTGATAGAGGCAAACAAAACCATCTGTATGTTGTGTAACCGCCAGTGAAACAACCAAGAGGCTGTGCTATGTGAGTAAATACAAGGAGAAGCTAATGTAAGCTGAGCTAAAAGACATCCCCGAAACCTTCATTTTATCCCAAAAATTATATTTGGTGTTGATTTATGTTGTTAATCTTTTACAAGTAAACTGCACTGCAGATTTGTTCCTAATGTGCTAACAATGGACACACCACCTGCCAGACCTGGCAGAAAGGTGGCAGTTTGCCTACTGCATTATCATCTGACAATGGATTTAGCCTAAATACTGCAGCTTCTTTTTTGCACGAAAGCGTTCACTCATGGATTTGTAATTACATGTTTGAGCATGTGCAAGAGTTTAAATAATTTCCATTGGTTCATATAAAAAGACTTTTTCAAAGGCGGCACCACCTCTGCCCATTTTATCCTCAACATGGCCATTTTGCGATGCACTCTGCACCTTCACTTTCATACATTTGGTGGCACTGATGCTTTCATTGAACATTTATTACAATAGAAAGGAAAAAAAACAATCTTGTCTGTCTTCCTGAGCCCCTGGTGGTATTATTGTGTTCCCATTCAGTGGTGCTTCATTCAAAGGATTTTGCTTCTGATAGCAATCATGCATTATTAAACAAAGCCTGACAACATGCACAATGTTAATTAGAAAAGGGGGGAGTGTGTGGCAAGAAAAAGAAAGGGGCTGTTGAGCTGTCTACTCTCTCTCCTTCCCATGATCCTTATCAGAAATGTGAAAGAGAAGGAGGGTGGGATGTTTATATTCTCCATAATGGCTGGTCTCTATTCTCATTTGAGGCCTGTGTGTTTGGCACTCTGGTCTATTTAGACAAGCAATATTATTAAGGGGAAAATACAAAAGAATGAGTCATATTTATCTTACACTCCAGCCATACTGCAATAAACTTGTTATGAGAAAAGAATGCAGGCAGAAAAGTTATGAGCTCCCCAAAGTAGCAGGTTCACAACATCAGCTCTGTCTTTCCATGTTCTCGTAGATGCTGTAACATTCTGGCAAATGGTGTACAAACCAGTGGGAAACAAATGCTGACATGAGAATGCTACCGACGGTGCTGTTTTTAACAAATTCAACATGGGTTTTAGCAAAGCAGTTGCACCGCATTATGCCCATCCTTCGTGCAAGTTGACTAATTTCACTTTGGCCAGCTCCAGGGAATTTTTTAAACAGGGTGTTTTTAGTTTTAGGCTCATGCAAAAACTGAATTGAACTTCAAGGAAATAGTTGATTCATGGTATGTTATCCTAACAGACCAAAGCAGCCGCAAAAATGCCACCAAATCTATTAAGGCCAATCCCTCTGTAATTAGCCCAACACATGCAAGGACAAAGCACCACAAAACTATGATCCATACTGCATTGTGTTATAAAAAGTTGCTTAGTATCATGCCCAGCCAGGCACAGCAAATACGAATTTGTTTCGTTTTATGAGGCAGGACTTTCTATGGTCCCTCCAGACATAGCTGAGTTAAAGAATGCAGTAATTACCCCCCCCCCACGCACACTTTCAAACTACGATATGCAGGGCTACAGTAGTGAGCACACAACAGTAGTACTGCAATAATCTCTCTGACCTCTCGTTTTGACCTGATGCAGAGACAGACAAACAGATTCTACCACCTTCTTTTTGCTGTTGACATAATATGTAATTAAACTATTCTCACCCTGATGAAGGAACAATGGTCGGTGATTGGGGATTAAAGCGTGGTATGTTGGAGAAGAGTCGTGCGACATCGTTCATTTGTCTGCACCTCGCTGTGTGTGTGTTTTCAAACAAAAACCATAGTTAATCATTGCCAATATGCTGTTGCACTATTGCATAAGCGCTATGTAACAAGTCCTCACTGTAGACCTTTTTGCCTAAATTATGATTGAAACATCATTTTAGTATTTTATTGTGTTGTTGTTTTAATGTATCTTTGCTACTTTAATGTATTTTATTTATTTGATATATGAAAACTAGTATTTCATATAATATCAAATACACAAAACACAACATAACATAACATAATAGTATTTTTAATATAATGTCAAATAAATAAAATATAGTGAATTTACCACTATTATAGACATCTGATAGCTACCAGTAGGATAAATAAATACAAAGCAGCCATTAATATGTCATTACACACACTATCAACAGAATACCACCAACAGGGATACATTGCAGTATATGATGTTGTATTGTTTAGCATATTTGTTTAGCAGATGTAGCACGTAATGGGCCTTCTAAAGAGGCTGTTTGATGTTCAAGAATGCGATACTTTGGGGGTAAGATTAGACGTTACTTAAGGACTGAATGTTGCCTAAATGAAAGCCTCAAGGTCAAAGGGCATGTAAAACGGCACAGGCTGCTGTGAACTAGCACAGATTTAGTGTCAGTCGACGGTGCTCACGGTGCTCGTGGTGCCCCTAGGATTCTTTTTTCATCATCATATGACCAGATTTATAAAATAAGCTCATCAAAGGCACAGCTACCCACACATTTCCTTCTACAATCCAAACTTCCTCATCAAAAGGGGGTTAAGTTTGGGTTAAGTCACAGTGTGTTTTACATGCTCGCTGCAACCATCATTTATCTTTTTCTCTGGTCTCTCCTCCCTGCACAAAGTTCCTTTCTCATGTGTAGTTCTCTCTTTTCTTAAGCCACTGTTCCCCTTTTGTTTTTCCTCCTCCGTCTGTTTTTCCTCTCATTTTTTCCCATCTACCGCTACTACTTTCTTCTGCCCGCGATGGTGTGATTTAAGACCGAGTGACAAGGCCGTTTCTCACACATCGCTCCCGATCAGCCGGCATGTGTAATAACATCCCTCAAGCTAAGCTAAGCTATGCCCTCAAGTGCAGCCTCCACATGAAAGACCCTGACAACCACACATCAGAGGAGTTTATTTGCTTTACTTATTTATTTACTCCCCCCCCACTCCCTCCTTGCCTCTTCT